TTAATTTTTACTCCAACTTCTTCAATCATGATAGGATTTTAAAAAATGTTACATTTTGATAACAGGGATGTTTAGAAAATAACTTTAGAGTGTCCTTCAGTCCGTCTGTCTGTACATAAAAACTGTTTCCTGTGATCACTTTAAAAGAACTTTTTCAACAAATTTACTTAAAATAGGAACATAAGTGAATGGCCAATGGCCCTTCAGAATGTTGCTTGGGCTCTTACCGGTAGGGGACTTATGGATTGCTTGCAATACTATGATAATTGCTTGTTAATTAATGTGTTGAAATGGTTTTGTTTCTTTACATGAGAGATCTGTGTTTACTTGTGATAAAGATGTTTCTGACATTCAAGCTTATTATCATTTGTCATACCATATGTTCAAAATACATTTTCATTGTGTTAAAAATAATAATAAGATACATGATCATGATAATGCCAGTTGACTACCTCATATTTCCAGTTAAACATTTGATCACTTGTAGTGTAACGCTCAGATCTGAATAAACTCAATATGAACAAGTCAACACAATATAAAGTTTATAAACGTCATATATATGTATTTATTTTATATGAAATACTGTTCACTAAGACAACACAATTGCTTTAACAATGTCTTTAACAACTTTATAATTCTTATACAAATACTTGAAATAATAAGAATTAATGTCAATTGCGTATTTAGCATAATTTAACCTTAAGTGAGTGAGTCTGCTTTAACATCAAAAACTACACTAAATAATCAAATATTTCGCTCCCCTTATATACTAAAATACTTTACGCCTAAGATTTAATAACTTAATAATTCATAGAGTATATATGCATTTGTGGACAGCTAAACAATTAAATAACCCATTATGTTTGCACGATCTAAAGTACAAAAGGTACACTTCCCGTTTTAGTGTTGACAGGTCTATTAATTAACTAAATTAAGCATAGTTTTCGTGACAGCTCATTAAATTAATATATCCGCCTATGCATACTGTTAACTAATTACCGGCTAATTACCGTTATCCTACAATATCTTCCCGACCAATTAAAAATACTTCCAGGTATTTTAAAATAAAACTTATTTAAAGAAAAAAATATGTCACTTTTAAGTATGAATGACTAAGAATAGTTTCAAGAGTGAAAAAGGAAAAAAAACGAACGCAAAAATAAAAACTAAAGGTAAGCAATTGACATTTTACAATTTATATAGCAAGAGATATAATTATTGATATACAATTTTAATAATTGAAAGTAATATTATTTAAAACAAATCATATTTAATATTTTTTTTTCTTTGAAATATTTCTGTTAACAAACATAGAAGAAAATTTATAGAATATAATTTTATATTAATATGAGAAAACAAGAAATGTTCCGTATATATAACTATTTTCACTGATTGAATTGTCCTAAAATAACACTGTTTTGTATTGCGAGAATAACACTTATCTGTCCTAAAAAAACATAATCACTTTCTTAGTTTTAATTAAATTTTAACACAGGTATGTCCTAATTTTTTAAATTCACATTTTAAAATTTTTCTTGTTGACGAAAACAGAATCTCCAAGAATAGAATTAATTACACTATATATCAAATAAGCACCAAATCGTCCCTTGTAGTGTAACGCTCAGATCTGAATAAACTCAATATGAACAAGTCAACACAATATAAAGTTTATAAACGTCATATATATGTATTTATTTTATATGAAATACTGTTCACTAAGACAACACAATTGCTTTAACAATGTCTTTAACAACTTTATAATTCTTATACAAATACTTGAAATAATAAGAATTAAATGCCAATTGCGTATTTAGCATAATTTAACCTTAAGTGAGTGAGTCTGCTTTAACATCAAAAACTACACTAAATAATCAAATATTTCGCTCCCCTTATATACTAAAATTCTTTACGCCTAAGATTTAATAACTTAATAATTCATAGAGTATATATGCATTTGTGGACAGCTAAACAATTAAATAACCCATTATATTTGCACGATCTAAAGTACAAAAGGTACACTTCCCGTTTTAGTGTTGACAGGTCTATTAATTAACTAAATTAAGCATAGTTTTCGTGACAGCTCATTAAATTAATATATCCGCCTATGCATACCGTTAACTAATTACCGGCTAATTACCGTTATCCTACACACTTGCAAAAATCTGCAAGTAGAAAATATTGCTAAATTCTAACCTTGAAGGTACTGTTCGTTTTAGGCTTAAGTCCCTTTATCATGATAAATACTATTAACTTTATATTCTTCTTTACAAGTATTGAATGCATCTGACATTTTGTATTTCAGATATGGATTGGTAAAAAGGGAGAAGCAAAAGTGAGTATTTTTTTACAATAAATTTAATTTTAACAGAAATAAAATAGCATAATATCAGATAATAAGGGTGTAGTAACTGGTGAGGTGCCTCTTCAGGCCAGTCTGGTTGCTGACATCAGATTATTTACCCATCATGTTCCTGGCTGACATCACATCATTTACCCTGTACCTTCCAAGATAACAACAGATTTATTAGCCCTCGCCTTCCAGGCTGACAACAGATTATTTTCTTATCACCTTCCAGACCTGACATAAGGTTATTTAGCTCTCACCTTCCAGGCTGACAACAGATTATTTAGCCCTAACCTTTAAGGTTGACATTAAATCATTTACCCCTCACCTTTCTGGGTGGCATCACATCATTCCAGGCTGACAACAGATTATTTAGCACTCACCTTCCAGACTGAAGTCAGATAATTTGCCCCTCTGCTTCAAGACTGACATCAGATTATTTACCCCTCACCTTCCAGACTGACATCAGATTATTATCCCCTGATCTTCCAGACTGACATCAGATTATTAAGCCCACACCTTCCAGACTGACAACAGATTATTAAGCCCTCATCTTCCAAGCTGACATCAGATTATTTACCCCTTACCTTCCAGGCTGACAACAGATTATTTAGCCCTCACCTTCCAGACTGACATCAGATTATTAAGCCCTCAATTTCCAAGCTGACATCAGATCATTTAACCCTTACCTTCCAGGCTGACAACAGATTATTTAGCCCTCACCTACCAGACTGACATCAGATTATTAAGCCCTCATCTTCCAAGCTGACATCAGATCATTTACCCCATACCTTCCAGGCTGACAACAGATTATTTAGCCCTCACCTTCCAGACTGACACATACCGCCTCCGTGGTCGAGGGGTTAGAGTCTATGACTTGTAATCCAGTTACCTCTCTGGCGTGGGTTCGATCCCCGGGAGATGCTTTGGTAGTTTAGCGCGGAGGAAGGTAGTCTAGTACTGGTGTAACTCTCTAGGAACGATGGTTAGGAAACTACCCGCCTATATGACTGAAATACTGTTGGAAAAAGGCGTAAAATAAAACAAACAAACAAACAAAATCCAGACTGACATCAGATAATTTACCCCTCACCTTCCAGACTAACATCAGATTTTTTAACCCTCGCCTTCCAGGCTGACATCAGATCATTATTTTTACCCCTCACCTTCCAGACTGACATCAGATCATTTACCACTCACCTTTCTAGCTGACATCAGATTATTTACCCCTCACATTCGAGCTGACACCAGATCACTTACCCTTCACCTTCCTGGTTGACATCAGATTATTTACCCCTCACCTTTAAGGCTGATATCAGATAATTTACCCTTTACTTTCCTTGGTGACATCACATCATTTACCCCTAACCTTCCTGGCTGACATCACATCATTTACCCTGTACTATCCAAGCTGACAACAGATTATTTAGCCCAAACCTTCCAGACTGACATAAGATTATTTACCCCTAACCTTCCAGGCTGATATCAGATAATTAAACCCTTCTTCCAGACTGACATAAGATTATTTACCCCTCACCTTCCAGGCTGACATCAGATTATTAAACCCTCTTCTTCCAGGCTGACATCAGAGTATTTACCCCTCACCTTCCAGACTGACATCAGATTATTTAGCCCTTTCCTTCCAGGCTGACATCAGAACATTTACCCCTCACATTCCAGACTGACATCAGATTACTTAGCTCTTTCCTTCCAGGCTGACATCAGAACATATACCCCTCACCTTCTTGGCTGTCATCAGATTATTTACCCCTCACCTTCAAGGCTGACATCAGATCATATACCCCTCACCAACCTTGCTGACATCACATCATTTACCACTCACCTTCAAGGCTGACATCAGATCATTTTGCCCTCACCTTCCTGGCTGACATCACATCATTTAACCCATACCTTCCAAGCTGACAACATATTATTTAGACTTCACTTTCCAGGCTTACATCTGATTATTAACCTCTCACCTTCCAGGCTGACATAAGATCATTTACCCCTTCACCTTCTAGGCTGACAACAGATTATTTACCCCGAACCTTCCAGACTGACATCAGATTATTAAGCCCTCACCTTCCAGGCTGACATCTGATCATTTACCCCACACCTTTCAGGCTGTCATCAAATCATTAACCCTTCACCTTCTAAGCTGACATCAGATTATTTACCCCTCACCTTCCTGGCTGACATCAGATCATTTACCACTAACCTTCCTGGCTGACATCACATCATATACACCTCACCTTTCTGGCTGACATCACATCATTTACCCTGTACTTCCAAGCTGACAACAGATTATTTAACCCTCACCTTCCAAACTGACATAAGATTATTTACCCCTCACCTTCCAGTCTGACAACATATTATTTACCCCTCACCTTCCAAACTGACATCAGATTATTTACCCCTCACCTTCAAGGCTGACATCAGATAATTTAGCTCTCTCCTTCCTGGCTGACATCACATCATTTACCCCATACCTTCCAAGCTGACAACATATTTTTATCCCTCACTTTCCAGACTTACATCAGATTATTAACCCCTCACCTTCCAAACTTACATTAGATCATTTACCCCTTCACCTTCTAGGCTGACAACAGATTATTTACCCTGCACGTTCCAGACTGACATCAGATTATTTAGTCTTCATTTTCCAGGCTGACATAAGATCATTTACCCCTTCACCTTCCAGACTGACATCAGATTATTTACCCCTCACCTTCCAGGCTGACATCAGATCATTTACTCCTTCACCTTCCAGGCTGACATAAGATTATTTAGCCCTCACCTTCTAGACTGACATCAGATTATTTAGCCCTCACCTTCCAGGCTGACATCAGACTATTTAGCCCTCACCTTCCAGGCTGACATCAGATTATTTACCCCTCACCTTCCAGGCTGACATCAGATCATTTACTCCTTCACCTTCCAGGCTGACATCAGATTATTTACCTCTCACCTTCTAGACTGACATCAAATTATTTAGCCCTCACCTTCTAGACTGACATCAGATTATTTACCCCTCACCTCCCAGGCTGACATCAGATCATTTACCCCTCACCTTCCAGACTGACATCAGATCATTTACCCTCCCCCTTCCAGTGCAAATCAAGAGTTAGGCTAGTTAGCATGTTATAGAAGAATATTATGATATCTTCATTTAGCCTTGTTGTGCATACTTTCTTGATATTCTGCTTAATTTTTGGGGGGGCACAGCTATGACCCCTAAATTGTCTATTTTTGAGCCATAAAATGTTCAATTGTTTATGACAACATGTTGTTATCCACAATTTCTATAAACAGCATCTTCTTAAACACTTGATAGAATTTTACTAAACTTCACAGGAATGAAACTAAGGTGACTTAAGTGACCATTCTGATGCATTAGTAGGTAGTTAAAAATAGACATAAAAATGAAAACTTTGAAGTCTCCTTATAAGTGAAAGTGCTGAGATATTTTGCATGAAGCAACAACTTATGGTCCTCTGGTCAAAATTGTTCCCACCCTGGTGTTACTTAGTTTACAGACTTATAAAGTAAAGTGCAATTTAATTTTCCACTCTTAAACCATGTGTCTTTCTAGAGCTAAGATACATGTAGAATTATGAATATTATGAATCATGGCCCTATTGACAAAATTGTCCCATCCCAATTGTGTAAACCTTTCACCTTCTGCATTGATAAGTTATGAACTTTTCTAGCAATGGATTTTAGGTGATCATGGTCCTGTCATGTTAAATAACCTCAGACTTTTCCTCTTAATACAATGTATAAATTTGTAAGAATCCAGAAGCTTGGCATTAAAGATCTGTTCAACTATTTAATAAATTTACATTTATTACTGAAAAAATGTAGCAAATGTTTTTATAATAGCTCTTCAAATTTGTTATAATTCAATTTAATGTATTTCATAGTCCTTTAATTTGAATTATATAAAGATGAATGACATATGGCCGCCATTATGTGTACCTAAGAATGAAGTTTTTCAAAGCATATCAAATTTGACTCCTTTTTTTTTTAATTTTTCAGCATATTTTTGGGAAGATTTTTTATAGACTTTGAAGAGAAGGCATTAATCAGACAGAAAACATCTGATTTGAAATATGTAACTGAAAAATCAACACCAATTACAGACATGCCTCAACTTGGAGATGATGTGGTTATTACTGTAAGAAATAAAAATTCCTCGAACATGATGTCTGCTGAAATCAACTTTTACAAGTAGGTCATTTTTTGAAGAGCTGAAATTGTTTTTGAGTATGAAAGTTAAATATTATCTTTAACTTGTCTATTTCATTATGGGCATTATTATGTCATCGTGCATTACGTAAAACACTGTTAATGGTATCTGTATGAAACTTATACCATAAGAAGACACAATTGTTATTTGGAAACCCTTATTTTGCCCCACCATGGAGGGGGGTATTATCTTTGGCGTTGTCCATCAATCCTTCCGTCTGTCTGTCCGAATTTCATTTACATTTTATTTCTCTGCAACTACTGGCTGGAATTCAACAAAACTTGATGGGAACCATCAAAACCAAGAGAAGATGCGCATATCATCGCCTTGTTCCAGTCAGACCTTTCAAGATAAGAGTTATGGCCCAAAATTAGTTGTGTTGAATGCCTACAGAGCATTAATTGTTTCTGCACTATTTCTCTGCAACTACTGAATGATGAAAAAATTTAACTCTTAAAGCATCAAAAAACTTCTTATCATGATATAAATAAATTAATGCTAATAGGGGAGCAATAGTCCAGTGGTACGTGAACGTGCGTAAGCATGAAACTTAGACTATAAAATGCAATTACTTACTATTTTTACATTGCAGGAACAGTGAATTGATAGCAAGCAGTGAGTTGTCAAACCACAGTTTCCTTCCTTTTATAGAGGCTGTTGAAAAAGTTGAAGAGTCACCAGAGATTCTTGTATACCCCCAATACATACCTAAAAATACGGTAAATAATAATGTATTTAATGTGGCAGTATTATACCAAAAAATAAAGTTACACAACAGAGCGTTTGTTGATTATTAAACTTTAAGAAGACCATGTAAGATTCAAGAGGCTTTTGTAGGGATTTGCATGTGGATTAATTCAGTTCTGTGAGAGATATTGCCCATGTCTTGGTAAAAATAGTCAATTTTCAATTTGTGTGACACAAAGCTCAGAAAGTATTTGACCTAGAGTCATGAAACTTCACAGAAATGTTCATTAGCATGAGAAGTAGTGCAGCCAGGAAATTGCTTTTTGGTTTTTATGCCCCCGAAGGGAGGCATATTAAAATTGCACCATCTGTCTCTTTGTCCATCTGTCTGTATGTCTGTCTGTCTGTGTGTCCCCATTTCATTTGTGTCCGGACTGTAACTTTGTCATATTTTGATGGGATTTTGAAATAGCTTGGCATAAATGTCTACCACATCAAGATGATTTGTCGCATCCAAGAACTACGTCCCTACCTTGCAAGAAAAGGTCACATTTACATCTTGAAGTTTCACATTATCACAAATAGAGTTAATAGGTAAACACATTCGTGTCAGGGCTGTAACTTTGTCATGCATCAAAGGATTTCAAAATAACTAGGCATAAATGTCTACCACATCAAGATGATGTCTCACATCTAAGAATTACATCCCTACCTCAAAGGTCAAGGTCACACTACCATTTTGAAGTTCACTTTACCACAAATATAGTTAATAGGTACACACAATCGTGTCCCGGCTGTAACTATATCATGTATCAAAGCATTTTACTATAACTTGGCATAAATGTCTACCACATCTTGACGATGTGTCGTGTCCAAGAATCACGTTCCTACCTCAAAGGTCGAGGTCACACTAACATTTTGAAGTTTCACTTTATCACAATAAGATTTTTCGGTACACACATTTGTGTTTGGTCTTTGTTATGCATAGAAGGATCTAGAATAACTTGGCAAAAATGTCTACCACATCAAGACGATGTGTCGCGTTCAAGAATCACGTACCTTCTTTTAAGGTCAAGGGCACACTATCATTTTGAAGTTCACTTTATCACAATTAGAGTTAATAGTTACAGACATTGGTGTTAGGACTGAAATTTTGTCATGTATTGAAGAATTTTAAAATAACTATGCATACTAAGTCTTGTCAACCACATTAAGACGACATGTTGCGTTCAAGACCCATGTCCCTACCTTCAAGGTCAAGATCACACTTATAGTTTGAAGGTACTCATTCCTCGAGGAGAGTTTGAAGATACACATTCATGTGCGGACTGTAATTACCTTTTGACGGAGGGTCATGAAACATTACAGAAATGTTGGTCAGCATGTGTAGTTGTGCAGCCATGTGTTTGCTTGTATATTTATTCAGAAATTTTATAGTAATTGCTCTTGACTTAGTAAAACCAATTCCAAAATGTTGTGTCATGTCATGTGTACCTTTAAAACTGCTTGAGTTAGAATCACTTAACTTTACAGAAATGTTGATCAACAAGATTAGTGAAGCTGAGGGCCTGGGTTTTTTGCATGTAAATCTTTAAGATAAATTATCAAAATGAAAATTTGTACTTATTATTTTCCTTCTTTTCTTCAAATGGTATCAGAAAGTTTTTGTAAATATATACATTGTATAATTTCCAGGTTTCTCTGCCAGCAGGATGGCAAGTTGGCATGAAACTTGAAGCTCTAGATGTAAAAACTCCAAATCTCATTTGTGTTGCTACAGTTGGTAAGTTAAATTAAAAAAATGTCCTGTTTGGACCCCAAACACATGTTTTGGTTTGAGAAATGTTGATAAAAAAAGTGCTCCGCCCCCATCAAAAAGGTACATCAGGGGGTTGCCAGAAGGGAGATGTGTCAACTTCTGTTTTGGGGGTTTGACGGGGGCTGCAGACCCTTTCATCGCCAAGAAAATTTCGGACTAGTGTGATGCTAAATATGACCCCAGGTCGATCATAAGGTAACGTTTAACCAACTAAATATTTACAAGGTCCATTGACATATGGCTTTGAAACTTTGCACACTTGTTCATCATCATGACCCCAACCTGTAGACAGGAGGAGGTATCTGTATAAAGCATTTTGACAGAATTATGCTCCTTTTTAGCTCGACTATTTGATGGGAATAAGTAGAGGTATTGTATTCACCCGAGCGTTGGCATCCGCGTATACACTTATGTTAAAGTTTTTGTAATACCTCAAATATTTTCAAAGTCCATTGACATATGGCTTTGAAACTTTGCACACTTGTTCACCATCATGACCCAAACCTGTAGACAGGAGGAGGTAACTCTATCCAGCATTTTGACAGAATTATGCACCTTTTTAGCTTGACTATTTGATAAGAATAAGTAGAGCTATTGTAGTCACCCGAGCGTTGGCGTCGGTGTCGGCGTAACCACTTATGTTAAAGTTTTTGTAATAGTTTTAATATTTTCAAAGTCCATTGACATATGGCTTTGAAACTTTGCACACTTTTTCATCATCATTACCCCAACCTGTAGACAGGAGGAGGTAACTCTATCAAGCATTTTGACAGAATTATGCCCCTTTTTCGACTTAGAATTTACGTAAAAGTTTTTGTAATACCTCAAATATTTTCAAAGTCCATTGACATATGGCTTTGAAACTTTGCACACTTGTTCATCATCATAACCCCAACCTGTAGACAGGAGGAGGTAACTCTATCAAGCATTTTGACAGAATTATGCCCCTTTTTCGACTTAGAATTTACATTAAAGTTTTTGTAATACCTCAGATATTTTCAAAGTCCATTGACATATGGCTTTGAAACTTTGCACACTTATTAACCATCATGACCCCAACATATGTACAGGAGGAGGTAACTCTATCAAGCATTTTGACAGAATTATGCCCCTTTTTTGACTTAGAATTTACGTTTAAGTTTTTGTAATACCTCAAATATTTTCAAAATTCATTGACATAAGGCTTTGAAACATGTTAAAATTTTATACTTTTCTTTGAGAGCATAATAAGACTCTCTCCAAGGCCTATAACTGAAATATGGATTTAAAGAAAAATTTTGCCTTTTTCTTTACTGAGAAAATTTGACCTTTTAATCAAGGCTTTTTTTACTATCAAGCACTAAGAATAGTCGAGCATTGCTGTCCTACAGACAGTTCTTGTTCGACTTAGAATTTACAGTCTACAGGTTGGGATCATGATGGTGAACAAGTGTGAAAAGTTTCAAAACCATATGTCAATGGACTTTGAAAATATTTGAGGTATTACAAAAACTTTAACATATAATTCTAAGTCGAAGAAAAAGGGGCATAATTCTGTCAAAATACTTGATACAGTTACTAATTCCTGTCTACAGGTTGTGATCATGATGGTTAAGAAGTGTGCAAAGTTTCAAAACCATATGTCAATGGACTTTGAAAATATTTGAGGTATTACAAAAACTTTAACATATAATTCTAAGTTGAAAAAGGGGCATAATTCTGTCAAAATGATTGATAGAGTTACCTCCTCCTGTCTACGGATTGGGGTCATGATGGTGAACAAGTGTGCAAAGTTTGAGAGGTGAGAGCATAATAGGATTTTCTTCAATGACATTAACTGTAACATGGATTTAAAGACATTGCTCTTTTTTTTATTAGAAAATTTTACATAATCAAGGCTTTTTATACTATCAAGCACTAAAAATAGTCGGGCGTTGCTGTCCGACCGATAGCTCTTGTTGTAGTTGGTGCTTCAAATTTAAACTTTCTACTAGTCATGCACAGTTTCAGATGGAGATTTGAATTTCAATATCGTTTGACCTAGATATCAAGATATTTCCTTCTTTATATCCATATTAATCAATATAATCAGTCTTGTATTACTATGAGACTTCATATGCAGGTGAACACTATGGACCATCTTGTTTCAATCGTTTCTCCAAAAGTACAATTTTTAATTAACTTGCAATGTATTTCATGTGAGCTATCCAGGCCATGATGGCCCTCTTGTTTCTTGAAAACATTACATTTTGTAAAAAAAAAATTCAGTAAATGTACAATATATCAATTTAAAGACAACAACCACAATTGTATTTATAGTTAAATAGATTCCAGGTTTCTGTATTTTAGAAAGATTGATAGCTCAACTGGGAAAATTGTTTGATTCAACTTTGATGGCTGGGGAAATAATTAATGACTACTGGGATATGCGAATTCTCCAAATTTTTCATCCTATAGGATTACTGGTATGCTAATGCTGATACATTTACCAGAGGTAAGACTCATTGATGTAACATCTAATAATACAACTTTCCTGTCTAGATTATTTTATTATTCCACTTTGTACATGTACTGGTGATACATTTACTGATTGTACTGGTGATACATTTACTGACTTGTACTGGTGATACATTTACTGATTGTACTTGTACATTTACTGATTTTACTGGTGATACATTTACTGATTATACTTGTACTGGTGATACATTTACTGATTATACATGTACTGGTGATACATTTACTGATTGTACATGTACTGGTGATACATTTACTGATTATACTTGTACTGGTGATACATTTACTGATTGTACATGTACTGGTGATACATTTACTGATTATACTTGTACTGGTGATACATTTACTGATTATACTTGTACTGGTGATACATTTACTGATTATACATGTACTGGTGATACATTTACTGATTATACATGTACTGGTGATACATTTACTGATTATACTTGTACTGGTGATACATTTACTGATTATACTTGTACTGGTGATACATTTACTGATTATACTTGTACTGGTGATACATTTACTGATTGTACATGTACTGGTGATACATTTACTGATTGTACATGTACTGGTGATACATTTACTGATTGTACTTGTACTGGTGATACATTTACTGATTATACTTGTACTGGTGATACATTTACTGATTGTACATGTACTGGTGATACATTTACTGATTGTACTTGTACTGGTGATACATTTACTGATTATACTTGTACTGGTGATACATTTACTGATTGTACATGTACTGGTGATACATTTACTGATTGTACATGTACTGGTGATACATTTACTGATTGTACATGTACTGGTGATACATTTACTGATTATACATGTACTGGTGATACATTTACTGATTATACATGTACTTATGATACATTTACTGATTATAACTGTAGTGGTGATACATTTACTGATTGTACATGTACTGAAATAAACTGATTATACTTGTATTGGTGATACATTTACTGATTGTACTTGTACTGGTGATACATTTACTGATTGTACTTGTACTGGTGATACATTTACTGATTATACATATACAATGTTACAATATTAATATGTTGAGTGCATTGAAAAAAAGAACACACCAGCAGGTATTTAACATACATGTATGTTTTTGTTATGGCTGGAATTATGTCTGCCTTGTCATCTACATGGGAGGGCCTTTGTCCGGCTTGTTTTTTCCGTGTGAGGCTTTTGTCTGCCCTGCCATTTTCACAGGAGGGCTTTTGTCCACCCTGTCATTTTCACGGAAGAGCTTTTGTCAACCTTGTCATTTTTGGACAGGAGGGCTTTTATCCAGGGGAGCTTTTGTTCGTTTCCCAAAAGGGGTCACTTAGTTAATATGAGGAAGGGTCAACATTTGAAGCAACATGGTCAATATATTTAAGAAAACAGCAAATATCTTATAATTTTCTATTTCAACCCTTTGAAATAATCTTTTCCTACAGAAATAATATCTTTCAGACGCTTAATCAAATATTTAAATGCTTCATCATAGTCCTTATTAGATATACCTTTCAATAACTAAAAAATGGCTGCCCCAGTAGTAAACCAAGCAAATATTTTTGATTACTTAAAATATTTTTCATTGAGGCTCAATATATTGCCCAGCCTACGTGTTACAAATTGTCATTAAGGCTCAATACATTGCCCAGCCTTAGTGGTACAAATTTTCCTGAGGCTCAATATATTGCCACGCCTTAGTGTTACACATTTCCATAAAGGCACAATAAATTGCCCCCCTTAGTGTTTGAAATTTTCATTGAGGCTCAATATATTGCCCTGCCTTAGTGGTACAAATTTTCATTGAGGCTCAAAATATTACAGTGCCTTAGTGGTACAAATTTTCATTGAGGCTCAATATATTGCCCCGCCTTAATGGTACAAATTTTCATCGAGGTTCAATATATTGCTGTGCCTTAGTGTTACACTTTTTCATTGAGTCTCATAAATCCCCCCCCCCCCCTTAGTGTTACAAATTTTCATTGAAGCTCAATATATTGCCCTGCCTTTGTGGTACAAAAATTTCATTGAGGCTCAATATATTGCCGTGCCTTAGTGGTACAAATTTTCATTGAGGCTCAATATATTGCCCCACCTTAGTGTTACAAATTTTCATTGAGGCTCAATATATTGCCACGCCTTAGTGGTACAAATTTTCATTGAGGCTGAAGATATTGGCCCGCCTAAGTGGTACAAATTTTCATTGAGGCTCAAAATATTACTGTGCCTTAGTGGTACAAATTTTCATTGAGGCTCAATATATTGTCATGCCTTAGTGGTACAAATTTTTATTGAGGCTCAATATATTGCCCAACCTTAGTGTTACAAATTTTCATTGAGGCTCAATATATTGCCCTGCCTTAATGGTACAAATTTTCATTGAGGCTCAATATATTGCAGTGCCTTAGTGTTACACATTTTCATTGAGGCTCAATAAATCCCCCCCCCCTTAGTGTTACAAATTTTCATTGAGGCTCAATATATTGCCCTGCCTTAGTGGTGCAAAAATTTCATTGAGGCTCAATATATTGCCGTGCCTTAGTGGTACAAATTTTTATTGAGGCTCAATATATTGCCCAACCTCAGTGGTACAAATTTTCATTGAGGCTCAATATATTGCCCCACAGTAGTGTTACAAATTGCATTGAGGCTCAATATATTGCCACGCCGTAATGGTACAAATTTTCATTGAGGCTCAATATATTGGCCTGCCTTAGTGGTACAAATTTTCATTGAGGCTCAATATATTGCTGTGCCTTATTGTTACAAATTTTCATTGAGGCTCAATATATTGCCTTGCCCTAGTGTTACAAATTTTCATTGAGGCTCAACATATTGTTGGCCTTAGTGGTACAAATTTTCATTGAGGCACAATATATTGCCGTGCCTTAGTTGTACAAATTTTCATTGAGGCTCAATATATTGCCGTGCATTAGTGGTACAAATTTTCATTGAGGCTCAATATATTGCAGTGCCTTAGTGGCACTCTTGTTAACCTGACATTATATATTATGATATCATTTATGAATGAGTTTAAATGGAATGCATTGCATTATCACTTTTGTATATTTTTCTTAATGTGAAAATTGTGCTCATATAGATATTGAATAATATTGAAATTATAATTATTAAATTGAACAATATCAACATAACATTAATTCATTTACTTTTATATCTTCAGGTTACCAACCAACAATTGATCCTGCTGATACTAGCTTTCAATGGCCAAGATACTTCAAAGAAACAAATTCATTTCCTGTTCCTTACGACAGTTTTAGCTCTGTAAGTACTTTATCTTAATGTACACCTATATTGACAATAGTTTGTCTTAATGTACACCTATATTGACAATAGTTTGTCTTTATATACACCTATATTGACAATAGTTTGTCTTGATGTACACCTATATTGACAATAGTTTGTCTTGATGTACACCTATATTGACAATAGTTTGTCTTAATGTACGCCTATATTGACAATAGTTAATCTAAATGTACACCTATATTAATAATATTTCATCTTTATGTATACTTTTATTGACAAAACTTTATCTTGATATACACCTATATTAAAATAAGTTTATCTTAATATACACCTTTAATGACAAGATTCTATTTAATGTATACCTATATTGACAATAGTTTATCTTAATGTACACCTATATTGACAATTGTTTGTCTTAATGTACACCTATATTGACAATAGTTAAGAAGCTCACCTGAGGACAATGTCCTCAAGGTGAGCTTTTGTGATGGCCCATTGTCCGTCATCCATTGTGTGTCCTTATATCTGTGCGTCAACAATTGCAAAAGATTGATATCATTTTGCTGACTAGTAAGTGGTCCCTGGTTGCTTTGAGGAAAAGTCGCTTAACCCATTACAAAATTTTTGGTTGTCTCAAATGGTGAAAAAATGCTTTATTTAGGCCCCGACACTTCATTGCCAAGAAAATTTTGGAATTGTGAGAGGCCAAAAAATGACCCCAGATCGATTATAAGGTAAAGTGTAACCAACACTGAAAAGCCTTTGACTCTATCTCAATCCATTGAGAAGTTGCAGCACTTTGAAATCAATTTTGATTGAAAAAATCAACGCAAAATATTGATTTTTGGCAATTTTGAGATGTCCTCTCATTGCCATGGTAACAGGAAATTTAAGACCGAGCATGTTGTTACAAAGTCAATGGTCCAGTCAACATTTGTGCCAAGTAAAATTGATTAGTATTGAAGCAGTTTATATAGTTTTATAGCAATTTGAACTTGTAACGGGAGACTTTTCAATGAAAACAGCCATTTTTCACAAAATGCTCATGAAGTCATGGGTTAATACATAAATGATATAGAAAGAAAATGATAGGGGAGGGGAAGGGGGGAGGCAGAATTTAAAGTGGTCTCATAAGACAAAAGTAGCTTAATACACATAATCCCATAGGCAAGTTAGACTGTAGTTTATATTGATGTAGACATGTGAGTGGTTATATACAGATATATATTTATAGAAGTTTATAGCTTCTTTAATGCTTACAGGAACAAGTAGGAGAAACAACAAGAGAGTTAGAAGAGGGAGTCATTGATGCATTGTCTCTGGGTGGAAGTTTTGGCCTTACATGTGGTAGGATGAAAAACAGAGCCAGAGGTAACTATAAAGGAGCCGCGTCACGACAAAACCAACATAATGGGTTTGCAACCAGCATGGATCCAGACCAGCCTGCGCATCTGTGCAGTCTGATCAGGATCCATGCTGTTCGCTTACAGACCCTATAACAAGTACAGAAACTGATAGCAAACAGCATGGATCCTGATCAGACTGCACACAAACCCATTATGTTGGTTTTGTCGTGACACAGCTCAAATGATATTTCAACCTTTAGGTATTTGGCAGTCTAATCTTGACTATTTTTATTTTTATTTCAAATCATCGATGTATTTGAATAATCAAAACCAGAATAAAATGATTTATTTAATTTACCCCATGAAACATGGTGCGATATCAGTCAAATATATTTCATATTTGTAAAAAATAGATATGAAAAAAAATATATAAGTGGGCGGAGTCAAAACTCATATTTATTTTAAGAGACTTCATTCCCCATTTTGTTTTAGAAATCTGATCAATAAAAAACAACTTTTTGTTGAATTTTATTTTGAAAACTATCTAGAATGATAGAGAATGGTCTAAAAAAATATTTAATCAAGAAAAATAGCTTAAAAGTAAGCAACAGGGCTCTTGTTACTTTATCTGAGGCCAGACTCCATTCAAGCGAGAACTTTTGCATTATTTTTAAATATTATTTCTTAAAGTATCAATATCTTATTTATTGCTAATTTCTTGATAAATCTACAGCAAATAGTTACCATGTCGCTTCCTCCAAAGTTTGCAATGAATAGCACTTCATTTCACAAGAACAGTCTTAAACAATTTGTTACTTTTATTCTTTTCATAATACATTTCTTCAATACTTAATAAACCTTTTCGGGGGCATTGGTCACTTTCACGTGCCAGTTCTTGTTAAATTCAAAAGTAGGTTATCTTTTATTATTTTTTCTTGATATCAATACAGTTCTTTATTTAATTTTACCCATGAAATATGGTGCTATATCAGTCAAATATATTTCATATTTTTTAAAAATAAATATGAAATATAAATATGAAAGAGGGCGGAGTCAAAACTCATATTTATTTTAAGGGACTTCTTTCGCCGTTTTGTTTGAAAAATCTGATGAAAACAAAACAACTTTTTCTTGAATATTGTTTTGAAAACTATCTAGCATGATAGAAAATGGTCTAACTAAGAAAATTAATCCGAACACCAATATCTTTAATTCAGTTATTAACGCTGTACAGACGTTTAAAGAGTTGTTTACATGACGTCACAATGTAGCGCCAAACAGCGCGTGCTTACGCATAAATTACTGCGCGCCGTACAATTGCAGTTGGTAGCAAGCAAGGGCATTCGTTACCATTTTCTTTGATAATGAAATTAAATAAAAAGGTTATTTTTTCGTTTTTCGTGAAATATGGTATATATTTTTACTCAACATGATAAAATGCCACATATTGTCACTCGCCGTACCGGCTCGTGAAAATAGGTGGCATTTTATCATGTTTCGTGAAAATATATTCCATATTTCACGCAAACGAAAAAATATCCTCTTAATATATAAGAAATGTACTATTACAATATGTCATATTCTGATATACTGTTGTCAAACTTACATATTTATAATTGTATAAATAACAGGTTGATTACTTGAATATTTTATTTTTTCCTTTTTCAGTGTTGGAGTTTAATACAGTGATGAAGTGCAAGAATGCTGAGAAGTTATTTGAATTCTTCAGTTCACACAGCAAATTCTTCTGTTTACTACCAAGTGAATTTGATGCAAAAAAGTTACAATATCCAAGCCTACTGTCAGTGATGGACTTCTCGAAACAGAATGTACATATACTATGTCCAGGAGCAAGTAAGGTTTTATAACATGCTGCCTTTAGACATTGAGATCTAGTTTCAAGGTTTTATGAAATGCTACTTAAAGTCATTTAGAAAACATTTCAAAGTTTTATGAAATGCTGCTTAAAGTCATTTAGTTAACATTTCAAGGTTTTATGAAATGCTACTTGTAGTCATTGAGCTTAACTTCAAGGTTATAATTATGTAATGCAGGTTTAGACATTAAGATAATGTTTTTCGAGGTTTTACGAAATGCTTCTTTAAGTCAATTAGTTAACATTTCAAGGTTTTATGCAATGCTGCTTTTGGTCATTGACAGTAAGTTTTAAGTTTTTTATGAAATGCAGCTTGTAGTTATTGAGCTTGACTTCAAGGTTTCTTGAAATGCAGCTTTTAGTCTTCATGATTTTCTGAAAAGCTTCTATAAGTCATTTAGGTAAAATTTCAAGGTTCTATGCAAGGTTACTTTTGGTCATTTATAGAAAGTGCTTCTTTTAGTAATTACGTTAATATTTCTGTGTCCATGATGTTTTAAGTTGACCTTACACAACTTAAATGGTTTTGTTAACTATCTATGAATTATTAACCAGGTTTTCAATTTTGAAAATCCTGGTTATTAGATTGGGGTATGGCGGGCGGATGGGCGGATGGGCGGCTGGGCGGATGGGCGGAAAGGCGGGCGTCAAACGAAATTGTGTCCGCTCTGTAACTCTTCAACCCTTTGAAGAATTTTGATGAAACTTCAGACAAATGTTTACCACATCAAGATGACGTGCAGAACGCATGTTCCGCATGGCTGGCTCCAAGGTCAAGGTCACAGTGACATTAACATTGAAAATCCTGTCCGCTCTGTAACTCTTCAACCCTTTGAAGAATTTTGATGAAACTTCAGACAAATGTTTACCACATCAAGATGACGTGCAGAACGCATGTTCCGCATGGCTGGCTCCAAGGTCAAGGTCACAGTGACATTAACATTGAAAATGCGGATGGGCGGGCGTCAAACGAAATTGTGTCCGCTCTGTAACTCTTCAACCCTTTGAAGAATTTTGATGAAACTTCAGACAAATGTTTACCACATCAAGATGACGTGCAGAACGCATGTTCCGCATGGCTGGCTCCAAGGTCAAGGTCACAGTGACATTAACATTGAAAATCCTGTCCGCTCTGTAACTCTTCAACCCTTTGAAGAATTTTGATGAAACTTCAGACAAATGTTTACCACATCAAGATGACGTGCAGAACGCATGTTCCGCATGGCTGGCTCCAAGGTCAAGGTCACAGTGACATTAACATTGAAAATCCTGTCCGCTCTGTAACTCTTCAACCCTTTGAAGAATTTTGATGAAACTTCAGACAAATGTTTACCACATCAAGATGACGTGCAGAACGCATGTCCGCATGGCTGGCTCCAAGGTCAAGGTCACAGTGACATTAACATTGAAAATCCTGTTTATCATACTTTAATTTTGTCGGGCCATTTCTCTTCAACTAAAAAAGCTATGGACTTGAAACTTCATAGGATGATAGATCTCATTAAGAAGAAGTGCAGTGCACAAGAACAGGTACTCTGCACTTCCTAATTTTTGAGTTATTGCCCTTTGTTAATTTTCATACTTTATTTTGTCCGGGCCATTTCTCCTAATGTATAAAAGCCATGGACTTGAAAACTTCATAGGATGATAGGTCTCATTAAGAAGAAGTGCAGTGCACAAGAAACAGGTACTCTGCATTTATTATTTTTTGAGTTACTGCCCTTTGTTTATTTTCATACTTTAATTTTGTCCTTGTCATTTCTCCTCAAGTATGAAAGCTATGGACTTGAAACATCATAGAATGATAGATCTTATTGATAAGAAGTGCAGTGCACAGAAACTGCTGCTCTGCACTTATTATTTTTTGAGTTATTGCCCTTTGTTATTTTTCATATTTCATTTTTGTCCTGGCCATTTCTCCTAAACTACATTGTTCACAAGGCGACACATCCGACTCGCGGAGTTCTAGTTTCCTTATACAGAATATAATTATAGTGAACACTTCCTCTGTGGCAATTCCTCCTACATTATTCATGTTTTACATTGCACATAGTTACATTGTTTGTTGCTTGTATTTGTATTTCAAATACAACATATTTATCTACAATGGTGATAATTGAAAACCTGGTTTCATGGCATTGCCATGTTTCTTGTGTTACAGAGTTGGTTGGAAAAGAAACTTTCTACATTGTGAACATATTTGTGAATGTAGATTTCTAAGCATTGGTTTTTATGTAAGACCTATGCTACTTTATGTAAATTAAAAGTACTCCATGTTTTTATATTTGCTCATTTTTAATGTTCTTAAAGTCAGTAAAAGACATGACCATGTTTGAAGGCATATGAAGCCTGTTACTTTAGATCATTATTCAGACAATTATTTACCTCCCTTTATAATGCATTAAGAATTTACAAAGTGTATGATCTATTTGTAATATATAGTATGTTTTAATGTATTTAAGAGATGGAATTGTTGCATTTTCTTGATGATCCTGGAGTTTTATTGACCAATTTTGATGCAATGCTTGAAGGAAACAATGCTGCATTTTTACAGAAGTGCCTCTCTGGACTCTTAATACAAGAGGTAACACAATTTTCTTAAAAATCTTTAGAAGTAACAATTAATTTCGTGATCTCTCTGAAGGCAGTAATGTTTAAGCATACACCCCTTCCATTTTGCTTCTCTAATGTGATGATAACACATTTACCATTATTTTAACTGACGATGGTTTGTATTTCAGGAAACACTGCCTACAAAGTGCTCAGTGTTAATCCCAGGAATGGAACATATCCAAAATAAAGTAAGTTTGACTTAAATATAATAATATTAAAGTAACGTTTTATTTATATAGAATTCACATTGTTATTTTAGCGATAATACAGTACCCATCTTACATAACAAAAATTGTAAGCAATCATCTTTGATGAAGATAAACATTTTTACATTTAACTATCTGAACATTGATAAGCGTATGATATATCATGTATATTTGTAAGATAAATTTCTAGATGAGAATATTTATATACATCATATAATTGTTTTTACTAAATCAGTTACAACTTTACTAACATTTTCTTAGTAATATTTTTAAAGATGTTCAAATGATTCAGTTGTATTGTTTTTATCAATATTTGAAATACAAATGAAAAATGTGCATATTTTAGACCTATATACCTTAAAACTTATGTGAAAGTGAAGATTATTGTATTACTATAACAGGATAGATGTGAAGCTTGGATGATTCGGCTGTGTTTTATGTACATGTGTATACTAGAACTACATGCAAACACTGACCAGACAGCTGTCACCATGTCCAGGGTAAATTATATACCTTCTATATCTTTAACATCTGTAATTATGCTCCTCTTCTAAGAAAAGGGGGTTTATTGTTTACTAATTTAACCACATGGTTTCCGCTGATTATCTTAAAAACAATTTATCACAAAGTCTTCATTTTTAACATAGTGATTGTTCATAACTAGTGGATGACCCTTATTGATTTTGGGGTCACTAAGTCACTTAAATGTCATAATGGTTTCCGCTGATTATCTGGAAAACTATTCATCACAAAGTCTTCTTATTTCACATAGTGAATGGTCATAACTAGAAAGTGACCCCTATCGATTTTGGGGTCACTTGTTTAAAGGTCAAAGGGGCCTCAAATGTTAGAATGGTGTCATATCTTGAAAGCCATTTATCACAGATCTTCATATTTCACATACTGATTGGTCATAACTAGTGAATGACCCCTATTATTTCTGGGTCAGTAAGTCAAAGGTCAAGGTCACAGGGGCCTTGAATGTGAGTATGGTTTCTGCTCATTGTCTTGAAAGCTATTAATCATAAAGTCTTCATATTTCACATATTGAATAGCCATATGAAGTAGATGACCCCTATTGATTTTGGGGTCACTAGTTGAAAGGTTGAGGTCACAGGGGCCTTACATGTCAGGACGGTTTCCATTTACTACCTTGAAACCTTAGTATCACAAAATCTTCATATTTTCTAAACTGATTGGTCATAACTAGTAGATGACCTCTATTGATTTTGGGTCACTGGGTCAAAGGTCAAGGTCACAGGGGCATTGAATGTTAGCATGGTTTCTGCTCATTATCTTGAAAGCTGTTTATCACAGTGATCATTATCACTTAATATTTCACATTGTGATTGTTTTTAAGTAGTAGATGACCCCAATTTATTTTAGGATCACTAGTTCAAAGATCAAGGTCACAGGGACCTTAAATGTAAATATGGTTTCCGCTTATTACTTTGAAAACTTTTTATCACAGTTTTAATATTTCACATATTGATTAGTCATAATGGAGTCACAAGTTCAAAGGTCAAGGTCTTTATGTTTTACATTTTGATTGGTTATAACTGGTAGGTCATTTTTTTTCTATAACTGACCACTTCCATGTACCCATTTTTGGCAATTTGCTATAACAAAATTACCAATAATATGAGTCAAGGGCTAGAAAGGGGGGAGGGGGCATATGTGCTTCGACATTTCTTGTTACAATCTGATCTCATCTCTAGGAATAAAATGTTAGAAGTCTAATGTACTGTAAAAAACTGCTCAATAACTTGAGTTTGCTTAGACCTATTGACACAAATATAAATATGTGGGTAGCTTATATCAAGACGCTACTTGGGTGGGCGGGTGTCAACTGTTGCTAAAAATTAGAAATTAGTTCTCTGCATAATAACTTAAATTAGCTAAGACCTTTTGATATCAAACTTAGTATGCGCAAAGCTTATAGGCAACTTGGGATTATATTTCATTCCCAATTCCTGTCACATTAATACTTGGTGGTTGAAAACCTGGTTTTCATCGCATTGCGGAGCTTCTTGTGTTTTATTTTCAAAAATAAAATTGATTTATTGATGCAAACCTTAGTTGGGCATTAAATATGTTTGTTGTGTTAAACAATATTCAAATAAGTGTTTACATTGTAATTTTGATAAATGTTGTTCATTTGTAAAATAGTTTTTCTATATAATTGATGTATATTAAATGATGATTTTGTATGTACTATAGGAAGTCATGGATGTGTTTACTTCAACATTGAAAGATAAACAGGTGGCTCATCTATTCTCAGAGGGAGATTTATTCATCAGATGTAAAGGTCATGCTGGGTCATCTATGGCAAATAACAATTTGCAGGAATTTCCCGTTGAGCAGTTTGACAATGTTTACATGTTTATGACACGCCTTGACTTTCAGAACAATAAAATAAAGTCATTACCTCCAGATTTGTTTACAAAGTTTAAGGCTCTGGAATACCTAAATCTCTCAAAGAATAATTTTACTGAAGTTCCGAAAGGTATTGGAAACCTTACAGTTCTCACTGAGATTGACTTGTCTAGTAACAGGTATCATAGTTTTGTATCTTTATTTTACGGACTGTCTCAATGAAATTAGAATTTAGGATAACATATATTTATGAATTTAAAATAGATACATATTTCATTTTTAGCTCAACCTGTTACCATTATATATATGTAACAGGAACAGCTATCCTACTCACCCAGATAGCGTCTGCTTAACACTTTTGGTTAAGTTTTTCGTACCACCCCACATATTTCCTATACCCATTGAGGTATTGCTTTGAAACTTTGCATACTTGTTAATGACCATCATCGCATTTTCCAGGCACTAGTACTCATAATAGTGGAGATATTTCTTACTGATGACTCTTGTTTTTGATAAACTGTTTGTGGATTCATTGATTTGATATATTGTGATACTTGTTGGAAATTTGACTTGTATTACCACACATCATGAGACATGATATAATTTGTTTATAATTAAAAGACTGACATTGTAATATTTACCCTTAATATCTCTAATCTATTTGGCTTGTCTTATTTATCAGTTTTCTAGTGTCTAATATATCAAATGAAACAAAAGAAAGAATATTATTACTTTTTTAGACTGAAAACACTTCCATCTGACTTTGAAAATGTGAGTCATTCTTTAACATCATTGAACATCTCCAACAACAACATGGAAGGTCTGCCTGGCTGTATATTTAAGCTTGTCAAACTTGAGGAGCTGTATGCTGAAAATATTGGTGTTGTGGAGGGTCTAGATCAACTTCGAAACCTGATGGAGCTCAAGGTTTTAAACCTTGGTCTTAATCTGATAGAGAAGATACCAGAAGAGTTGGGTGACCTTCAACTTGAGTACCTTGACTTGAGTGGTGTTCCGTGGGTACCAGCAACAACATACCAGTCAGTGATTGCCTTCATGAAACAGCTACAGTTTAATAATGTCACCATGAATATAGATATAGCTGTAAGTTACAATTTAAATTATTGTTATTACTTAACATCAGCTTTATTAATAAGATTTATATTCTGAACATGTATAAAATAGCTTTAGATATGACAGCTGATCAGCGCCTGCATTCAGTCTTCCATTTTAGATACATTGAGTCTTAGAAAGAAAAATGCTGAACTAACTAATATAACTTTTTGATATGATCATTAAGGTTGATTTGTCTGAAGTAATTTTGCATTAAGTGTACACAATTGATGACATAGGGGATTAGAAATTCATCTTATACAATATATATTAACTTGTCAAGTTTTTCATTTATTTTACAGGAGCAAGCAAAGATGTTTAAAAAAGCTGATGTAGATGAATCAAGTACCCTGACACCAGATGAGGTTCAAGTTCTCACTAACGACAGACTGTTCCCGATGTATCCAAGATTTGGAAAGGGATCATTTGCCTTTGAGAAAAGTAAGCTGTCTTTTCATTATAGGAATTAATAGAATAAAAGCCTACTTTAACTTTAAATGTCTTGGTTGTAATAAATAGACAAAAAGTCTTATAAACATTTTTTATTATACAATATAATGATATGAAATGTTATAAGATGGTTTATTGAAATATTCGCAAAATCAGATGCATGTTTTTATTTTCCGTATTTTCACTGCAAAAATCATTTTTCACTGAACTGGTTGGGGACCACCAAAACTGGATGACCATCAAATCTGAATAGTCCCCAAAACACTTCATGTAATTGCATTCATCGATCAGTGGCTATCAGTCAGTCAGTCAGTCACTTTTTTATTAACACTAAATTCATGTTTCTTCTATAATTGATAAATCAATTGGATTTAAACTTTCTTAAATGTTAATACCAATATGTCTTTAACTGAAACATTGACATTTGGAAATTCTGACATCAAGAGTGAATACCTGATCACTTTGACTAGCTATACAATTATTTGCTTGGTTAACAACAAAATATTCACAATTTTAGAACATGTATATGTTATGAGAATATTGTTAAATAAAGTCATACATATCTGACTTGTAGTGAGGACATTTCATGTATTTCTGATACCCCCTGTGCACAGACCTTAGATTATAATTGAAAATAAACAAATTAGCTCTTCATTTTGGAGAATAACATAGCTGTACTTTGTCAAATATTCATCTAGCATTAGAATTTCGAAATCTGTCCTAAAGAATTTTCAAACTTGTCCAATTGATGGTCCGTGACCAAATGTGAAACTTATTTTGCATTTTCACTGGTGTCTTGCCATAATTTTCCTTCTAGGTTCAGCCAATAAGCAAAAATAAAAGAGAAGTCTTTAGAATTGTTTAAAGAATATAATACACTGAAAGTTTAAGGTTTTTCTTTAAAAAAAGGCGCAACTTGCAAAATATTTAATTTTATACCACTCTATGAAAATGAATCCTTAAAATATTGAATAAACTTACATATGATATAAATGTAACATGTGTTGAATGTTCATGTGTTAATGTTGATTTATTTTATAGGTGGCGGTATCCCGCCAGTTTTGTTCAATCTTAAGGCATTGAAGAAGTTAGTTTTACGTTACCATGGTATCACAATGGTTCCTGACGAGATTAAAGTGTTTACAAACCTCAATGAGATAGATCTATCCTATAATCTAAAGATGGTCACCTTGTCAGCAGAACTAGCTGCCCTACCTTTGAAACGTATGTATATTAGAGACTGACATAATATTATAATGCTCATTCTGGTTCATGGTTTTAAACCACAATATAAACAATATACAGGTGAGGATGGGGTACTGTTATATAATGCTCATCACACAATGGGATCATTCACAGGATTATCGCACTCAAATAAACATAAAGCAGAGTGTTGGAGTATAAAGCTGTTGAATAAAAAAGATAGATCATATAACTCGTGTATGGTAACTATGTTACTCATATAATATATGCTATAAAGATTTTTTTTAATGGGTTATATGACCCTGTATAAACAGTTGTTTGGAAATATTACCCAAGCTGCAAGGTGAGGGTTATTTTGCAAACAGTTATATAGCCTGTCAGGAATATCAAAAACTAGTTCTTTATACTGCAAATTTCCAATTTAAGAGGAAAAATTGAAATTACTTCATAAATTGACAGTAGTTGCATATACAGATTACATCATGTCATGATTGTCCAATGAATAGCGACATTACAAACATGCAGTATTATAAATTTGTTCTCTATATAATCAAAATAAATGCATAAACATGTTATACTTCTGTGAGGTAAATAAGGTTTCAACATATAATTATGTTTGGAAAAAACTAATATTTTATTTATATACAGTAAACTTCACTTATAGCTAACACCGTTATAGCGAACTTCCATTTATAAAGAACAATATTTTTTGGCATGAATTTTGCCCTTCTTTATTAATATAAAAACATACGGTAATAGCGAACACAGTTATAAGGAATTATCGCTTATAAGGAACTCATTTATTAGTCCCAGTTTAGTTAAAAGTACAGAAAATTACACTTTTATAACGAACTCCAAAATATTGTCTATTCGTAAATACAAAGTGTAGATCCAGCATTTTCAACTTTCGTTTTCATTGGCACGGATCAAAACTCGGCCGAATGTACCATTTATCGTTGTACTTCAATACATCTATTAAAATGAATTTGTATAGTTTTCTATTTAGGAAATTTTGAGCATGAGCTTTTTTCACCAAGATAAAACGGTTATTTATTTCTTTTCTTCAATAGTTTTGCTCGAGTAAAATAATTATAATAATTTATAATTGGTTTTCAACATAATCACGCATGATTGCAAGCATGATCCATTGCAAACTGCAAAGTACGTTTGATTTAAATGAAAAGATATCTATATCTTACATTAGTAAAAGTCACCCTTAAATTATAATAGAAGATATTCAATATAAAAGGAAGGAAAAATCGAAAATCTTGTTTATTCTCAATCATGGAAAGAAAACGAAAAAGAGTTTAGAAACAAAATTTTATATTTTATGAGAAATTGAGATAGGGATTAAAACTGAAATAGCAATGATTTTCAAATTCCAAAAAGTACGCTGTAGGGTATTGTGTCTCAAATAGAAATAAATGACTAATATTTCTTAATCAAATGCTCTTCAAAATGGCGGACAATGGTAAGCAATCAGTTCGTTATATGTAAATATGTTCGATAAAAAAACTGCTGATACAAGGAACTAATTCGCTATATGCTTACAAGAAACTCCGGATATAAGGAACAGATTTTGAATGTCCCAATGAGTTCGTTATAAGCGGAGTTTACTGTATCTTTATTTATTAAAAAGAATATTTTGAAATAAAATACTGTTGTTTTGTTATATAGAACTACATTTGAAAGAATGTACAGCATTGAATACACCTCCGAAGGAAATAGTTTCACGAGGATTTCTTGCTGTCATTGGCTACTTGAAACGTTTGAGACTTGGAGCTGTACAATGTAAAAGAACTAAATTAATGATGGTTGGATTAGGGGGAGCAGGCAAGACAAGGTAAAAATGGTTTAAAATTATCTCTCTGATAAAGGTAAGGCTTTATAATATAAAGATTTGTGACAATGGTATGACAAGGTAAAAATATTTTAAAATTATTTCTTTGATAAAAGAATCTGCGATGGGTTATATGGCCCTGTATAAATGGTTGTTTGAATAAAGTGGCTCAGGTTATATTGCAAACGACTGATTATATACAGCCATATAACCTGCCAAGAATCCCTATAATTTCTTTATAATACACGTAAACTTCCTATATTTGTGAAATGAAATTGCTTCATAAATTGACAGAAGCCATGTACATGTATATATATTATATCAATTTCACAGATATCCAAAGAAAGTGACTACAAACATTCAGTATCATGTTACATGTAAGACAGGAAGGGTAAAACTTCATACTGATATGCTTATACACTCATACTTTAGGTCCATATTGTTTCATTTAATGCATTCTTATGATGTAAAGTTAAAATCTGAACTATATGTAAAAATGTAAGCTTTGTCAAATGAAGATCCCCTGCTTGTAGCTTAAAGTGAGTTATCATTACAATGATAATGTTACAGTTTGGTACAATCATTGATGAGTCAACGTTATCGTGCCTACATGGATCATGATGAACCAATCACAGACGGTATTGATATTAAAACATGGAATATACCTATCCAGGAAACCTCAGATCAACTTATGTTCAGTGTTTGGGACTTTGCTGGTCAGACAGTGTATTACAACACACACCAGGTAACATTCTGGAAATATTCTTGAAATCTTTGTGAAAATGTATACTATAACATGATGTGTCATAACAAAATACTAGGCAAAAACCAAAGAGATTTATTTTGAAACATTTGAATGTTTCTGTTACAAAAATGGAATTTTCTCAATGCTCTTAAACTAGATTGCATATTCTTAGAATATTTTAGATGAGCATCTATCAATCTCAGGTGTATAATTTTCAGATGACGTATATTCCTTCATTTGACATTATAGCTCCAGAGAAACATTAATTTTATAAATCATTTACTATTTCAAGCTTTTTAGAAGTGATTTTTTGTAATTCACATTTTATATATATTTTCAGTTTTTTCTGTCTAATCGAGCAGTGTACCTTCTCCTATGGAATGTAAGACAAGGGTATGAGCATGCTGGTTTGGATTTTTGGCTCAGTTCTATAGCCTGCCATGCTCCAAAAGCTCCCATACTTGTTGTAGGAACACATATAGACAAGGTAAAGTAAAAGCTCCTATACTTGTTGTAGGAACACATATTGACAAGGTAACGTAAAAGCTCCATACTTGTTGTAGGAACACATATAGACAAGGTAAAGTTAAAGCTCCCATACTTGTTGTAGGAACACATATAGACAAGGTAAAGTAAAAGCTCCCATACTTGTTGTAGGAACACATATAGACAAGGTAAAGTAAAAGCTCCCATACTTGTTGTAGGAACACATATAGACAAGGTAAAGTAAAAGCTCCCATACTTGTTGTAGGAACACATATAGACAAGGTAATGTAAAAACTCCTATACTTGTAGGAACACATATAGACAAGGTAAAGTTAAAGCCCCTATACTTGTTGTAGGAACACATATAGACAAGGTAAAATAAAAGTTCCCGTACTTGTTGTAGGAACACATACAGACAAGGTAAAGTAAAAGCTCCTATACTTGTTGTTGGAACACATATAGACAAGGTAAAGTAAAAGCTCCCGTACTTGTTTTAGGAACACAAATAGACAAGGTAAAGTTAAAGCTCCCATACTTGTTGTAGGAACACATATAGACAAGGTAAAAGTAAAAGCTCCCGTACTTGTTGTAGGAACACATATAGACAAGGATAATACTTGTTGTAGGAACACATATAGACAAGGTAAGGTAAAAGCTCCTATACTTGTTGTTGGAACACATATAGACAAGGTAAAATAAAGCTCCCATACTTGTTGAAGGAACACATATAGACAAGGTAAAGTAAAAGCTCCAAAACTTGTTGTAGGAACACATATAGACAAGGAAAGGTAAAGCTCCTATACTTGTTGTAGGAACACATATAGACAAGGTAAATTAAAGGTCCAATACTTGTTGTAGGAACACATATTGACAAGGTAAAGTAAAAGCTCCCATACTTGTTGTAGGAACACATATTGACAAGGTAAAGTAAAAGCTCCAATACTTGTTGTAGGAACACATATAGACAAGGAAAGGTAAAGCTCCTATACTTGTTGTAGGAACACATACAGACAAGGTAAAGTAAAAGCTCCCATACTTGTTGTAGGAACACATATTGACAAGGTAAAGTAAAGCTCCTATACTTATTGTAGGAACACATATAGACAAGGTAAATTAAAGGTCCAATACTTGTTGTAGGAACACATATTGACAAGGTAAAGTAAAGCTCCTATACTTATTGTAGGAACACATATAGACAAGGTAAAGTAAAAGCTCCCATACTTGTTGTAGGAACACATATAGACAAGGAAAGGTAAAGCTCCTATACTTGTTGTAGGAACACATGTTGACAAGGTAAAGTAAAAGCTTCGATACTTGATGTAGGAACACATATTGACAAGGTAAAGTAAAGCTCCTATACTTGTTGTAGGAACACATATAGACAAGGTAAAGTAAAGCTCCAATACTTGTTGTAGGAACACATATAGACAAGGAAAGGTAAAGCTCCTATACTTGTTGTAGGAACACATACAGACAAGGTAAAGTAAAAGCTCCCATACTTGTTGTAGGAACACATATTGACAAGGTAAAGTAAAGCTCCTATACTTATTGTAGGAACACATATAGACAAGGTAAAGTAAAAGCTCCCATACTTGTTGTAGGAACACATATAGACAAGGAAAGGTAAAGCTCCTATACTTGTTGTAGGAACACATGTTGACAAGGTAAAGTAAAAGCTTCGATACTTGATGTAGGAACACATATTGACAAGGTAAAGTAAAGCTCCTATACTTGTTGTAGGAACACATATAGACAAGGTAAAGTAAAAGCTCACATACTTGTTGTAGGAACACATATAGACAAGGTAAAGTAAAAGCTTCTATACTTGTTGTAGGAACACATATTGACAAGGTAAAGTAAAAGCTCCGATACTTGATGTAGGAATACATATTGACAAGGTAAAGTAAAAGCTCTATACTTGTTGTAGGAACACATATAGACAAGGTAAAGTAAAAAGCTCCCATACTTGTTGTAGGAACACATATAGACAAGGTAAAGTAAAAGCTCCGATACTTGATGTAGGAACACATATTGACAAGGTAAAGTAAAAGCTCCGATACTTGTTGTAGGAACACATATAGACAAGGTAAAGTAAAAGCTCCCATACTTGTTGTAGGTCCACATATTGACAAGGTAAAGTAAAGCTCCTATACTTGATGTAGGAAGGGTTAAAAGATTCTATTAGTTGTATAGAAAAGTCCTGTCAAAACCAGGTTAAGTTTTGTGATTGTATACTACTTTAAAATTTGCTGAACACAAAGTTTTTCACACAAGAGTAAATTTTAAATACCAACCAATATAAACATGTATGCATGATATTTTCATTAGAAATGATGATGGACTTTATAGAGAGTCCAAGTGAATGACAGGTAATATCCATTGGCAAGTCTTGGATTAAGATAAGGAGTAATCAAGGGTTCCTGGTTCGATCATCGGTTTAAACATAATTTCTTAGTGCCAATTGATCTTGAACATTGAATCTAATGGTCATTTGTCTCTCACTGCTAATTCAGTATTCATGTGACATTACAAGTAGTTGGTCACCTGCAAAGAAATTGGTTGGGAAAACAGGTTTGGTTGATCTACCAATGAGATGTTACCAAACATAGGAGTAAAAAAACAGCACGAAAAAACAAGCACACAACCAGTCTGGGCAAGGTCCCAATAGTATGATTCACCAGTTATGTGATATGATGATGACAGGAGTGCTATATATGCTGTCATTTCTATTTTCTGATATTATAAGCTGAAAGATACTGTTTGGCCATTGAAAACTAACCTCATTTTGGCTTTCTAAATACTCCCTATGATATTGTTGTAACCTTAACAACATATGTGTATATACACATGTTTAAACACCATAGAACACCTATGAAACAAACATCAAACAAGAACTATTTCAATTTAGAAAACAGTAAAAATTGTATCTTTTAAAGCATTTGTATTTAGTTTGCAAAAATAAAAGTTTTAGACATTAAATGTAAATGAATGCAAAAAAAAATCAATATTGACATCAATGCTAAGAGGAAATATAGGATATGTATGATTATATTTTAGGTGGAGAAGTTTCGTCTGCCAGAAGTGAACCTTAAAGCTAGGTACCCTCAAATTGTTGGATTTCATTATGTCAGCTCATACACAGGAATTGTAAGTCATTCATAAATAGTTGTAGCTTATTAGTAAAGATATAATGATGATAATGAACAAATATTGTTAAGCAGTATCAGTTTATATTTTTTTAACGCCTCCGTGGTCGAGAGGTTAGAGTCGATGACTTCTAATCCAGTTACCACTCTAATGTGGGTTCGATCCCCAAGAGATGCTTTGGTAGTTTAGTGTGGAGGAAGGGTAGTCTAGTACTGGTGTTACTCTCCAGGGGAACGATGGTTAGGACACTACCTGCTATATGAACTAAAATTTTTACTTGTTAAAATAACTGTTAGGAAAAAAGGCGTAAAATCAAACAAACAAACATTTAAAAATGCATTTCATATAGGTTTTTTTTCCCTGTCACCTACATAAAGATTTTTTATCAATGCACTCTGCTATTAGTTTTCTCATAGTTTAAACTCAATGATTTATCAGCACAGTTTTTATAACTTAGTTAAAATTTGAGCTTGATTGTGATGTAACATTTGTTTGAACAACTATGAGGTATCTTTGTTGTAAGTTTCATTTAGCATTGTTTTATTTCAGGGGGTGGATTGTTGTAAGGTTCATTAAGTATTGTTTATTTCAAGGGGTGGGATTGTTGTAAGGTTCATTAAGTATTGTTTATTTCAGGGGGTGGATTGTTGTTTAGGTTCATTTAAGTATTGTTTATTTCAGGGGGTGGATTGTTGTAAGGTTCATTAAGTATTGTTTATTTCAGGGGTGGATTGTTGTAAGATTCATTAAGTATTGTTTATTTCAGGGGGTGGATTGTTGTAAGGTTCATTAAGTATTGTTTATTTCAAGGGGTGGATTGTAGTAAAGTTCATTAAGTATTGTTTGTTTCAGGGGGTGGATTGTTGTAAGGTTCATTAAGTATTGTTTATTTCAGGGGGGTGGATTGTTGTAAGGTTCATTAAGTATTGTGTATTTCAGGGGGTGGATGATCTCAGACAAACCATCATAAGCAATACTTTACAGCAGAAATACATGGGTGAAAAAATTCCTGAAGCTTGGCTTACACTAGAAAAACGTCTGATTGCTTATCATGAGGAGAAAAAAGTAGATATTCTACCATTCAAACAACTAGAAACTATCAGCGCTACATGTGGTATATTTGACAGAGGGGAGGTAATTTATAATACTTCAGTCTTATCTTTATATGGTTAATTCTGAAAGAATCTTAATAGACTTATATAAACAAATGTTGACTTATCTCTCCTGATGACTTTAAATATTTTGTGTAAGATAAATGATCAGTACCAACTTTACTTGCTAAGCAACTGGTAGAAGATTTATAGTTACCAATATCATATTTCACTGGTTAGACACAGGGTTATGTAACTTGCTATTGCAACATCACAGAATAATCCTGGCTTCCTATTCTACACAATGTTCAATTTTAAAGTCATTTATATGTTGTTTTTATTATATTCCAGAATATTTTGTCCTTACTTCTATATATGCATTTACAGGAATAATGGAACTAAGAATGTATATCCAGTATAAATCTTGACTGCTTCAGATACAATATACTTTAACCATAAAATTCGTACAATCTCAATATAAGCCATTAATTTTACTTAGTAGAGAAAAAAAATATAAAATGAACTTTCATTGTGATATATTTTGCAATAATACAAACTATAATATATTTTAGATTCTATCTGGAAACAGTTAATTTATAATTATCAACTACACAAACTTTTCTATCTCCAATAGAAAAGTTTGTGTAGTTGATAATTATATAATATATTTTTTATGATATTTATTACAGTTGATTCAAGCGGTACAATTCCTGCATGATTTAGGTGCTGTACAGTTTTTTGATACAGATTTTCTACGAGACATGATTGTGATTTATCCACAGTGGATAGTGGATGTAATGGCATGTTTAGTTACAGTACATCAAGGTGCTGTCAAGGTATATTATTATTACCTTTTCTTGTACACAAGCTTGGGTTTTTAGCTCACCTGAGCATATGCTCAGGGTGAGCTATTAGGATCACTCTTCGTCCGTCGTCTGTCGTCCGTCATATGTCATCCCTTGTCCGTTCACACTTTTCAAACGACATCTCCTCTGAAACCATAAGGCAGATCATAATGAAACTTCACAGGGATGTTCCTTGTGTGAAGCCTTAACAAAGTTGTTCAAAGAATTCCATTCCATGGCAACCAAAAGAAAAAACTGTAAACATCTTCTTCTAAAAAACCCAACGAGCTAGAGCTTAGATATTTGGCATGAAATATCTTCTAGTGAGTGTCTACCAAGATTGTTCAAATAAAAGCCCTGGGGTCAAAATTGGCCCCGCCCCAGGGGGTCATTGATTTTCCCTATATGCATATAGTAAAAACTTAAAAAATGTTCTTTTAAAGAACCCATAGAGCTAGATCTAAGATATTTAGCATGAAACATCTTCTAATGAGTGTCTACCAAAGTTGTTCAAATAAAAGCCCTGGGGTCAAAATTGGCCTCGCCCCAGGGGGTCATTGATTTTCCCTATATGCATATAGTAAAAACTTAAAAAATCTTCTTTTAAAGAACTCAAAGAGCTAGAGCTAAGATCTTTAGCATGAAAAATGTTCTAATGGATGTCTACCAAGTTTGTTCAAATAAAAGCCGTGGGGTCAAAATTGGCCCGCCGCGGGGGTCATTGATTTTCCTTATATGTGTATAGCAAAAACTTAAAAAATCTTCTTTGAAAAAACCCAAATAGCTGGAGTTTAGGTATTAAGCATGAAACATCTTCTAGTGAGTGTCTCTACAAAGTTTGTTCAAATAAAAGCCGTGGAGTCAAAATTGGGCCCGCCCCAGGTGTTAATTGATTTTCTTTATATGTTTTCTTTTAAAAAACCCAATGAGCTATAGAGCTTAGATGCTCAGCATGAAACATCTTCTTATGGGTGTCTACCAAGTTTGTTCAAATAAAAGCCCTTGGGTTAAAATTGGCCCTGCCGGGGGGGGGGGGGGTTCAAAGGGCAGAAGGGGGAGGGTAGATCGTTGTTTTTCATTATATGTGTGTAGTAAAAAATTAACATCATGAAACATCTTCTATTGGGTGTCTTCCAAGTTTGTTCAAATAAAAGCCCTGGGGTTTAAACTGGCCCAGCTCCGGGTGCCTTTATACAGGTGAGCGTACTCAGGGCCATCATGGCCCTCTTGTTATTTCTGTTTATAAATACAAAAGATTACAATACGAGAGAGTATATAATTTTGTTTTGGTTTTTTAGGATGGTAAAATGTTGTTGAAGGACATAAGTAAAGTATGGGAGGATTATCCTAGTGAGCTACACCCCTGGTTACTACGGTTAACAGAAGAGTTTGACCTGACATGTTCACTACCTGATGAAGAAGCCAGTATTGTACCATGTCTGCTCCCGGATGGTGAACCAGAGGTAACAACACCTGCTAGATTTTATACACTTTTATACAGAAAGTTTTTTATTTGATTGTCACGGTTCAGAACTGTTCACTATTTAGGGGAGACTATGTGTAAGCGGCCGGATAGCACATTTTTCACACCCTGTGTCATGATATTTCTTCATGAGATAGGTTAGCAAGCATTTTGTATGGAGAGAGATTTGTTAAAACAATACACATTCTCAAAGAGTCCCTAGATTCTGTACCTTTTATCTTCTATATTCCTAGTCTTTAGCTCGCCTATTTAAAGAATTTGGAAAGCTGTTGAACTCACCCGGTAGTTGGTGTTTAGTGCCATTATCACACTTTGGTTAAGTTTAATGTGTGCAATAAAATAGAGAAAATAGGAATCCCGAAAGAAAGTCCAAAACGGCAAAATTGAAAATTTTGCAGGCTCCGTTTGATTGAGCCTGTTCCAAGACTACTCAAGGGAATTGGTTGAAACTTCACACACTGTCTTATTCTCTGGTATTATTTATCTTGATGTGCACAGGTCCCATTACTCTTGAGTTACCATTTTACAGAGTTATGCCCTTGTCCTAACTGTCAAGCACTAAGAATAGTTGAGTTTGCTGTCTAACAGATTGTTCTTGTTCAATTTTTGAACAAAAATATTTATTTTATAGTTAAAGCCAGCAAAATTTTCTTTTCACAAAAACAACAGCAAAATTTGCTTTGCACACGTTGCTAGCTCATTTTTGACAACAAAATTATTAATTATTTTTAACCAAGCATGTAAACATTGTTTCAGATAATTGAAATTTACTTTATATTAAAAAATTAACACATTGCTATAATTATATTTATAATGATAACATATATTTTTGTATGCTGTTATAACAGTATGATTGGCCACATGCAGATCCTAGGAAGAATATCCGAGAATCAATGACTGTATACAAGTTCCAGTACCTACCAGCTGGTCTCTTTAATCGAGCACAGGTAAAACATGTACATCAACACAGTTTTGGTGTCTACCAGACTGTCCACTTAGCTAAATAGGGAGGGTATAGGATTTGTAATGTTCAATCCATAGGTGAAGTCTAATATCTCTGTGATAATTAGTCTCCTACAAGTTTAAAAAATATTTGGTTTAAATTTGAAAAAAACACATGCTTTTAATTTTAAAATGTTAGAAATTGGGATTGATAAATTTTAAACTTTCCCTTTTTTTTTTTCGAAAAAGACATGTTTAAATTTTACCCATGTTGAAAAATGTTTTTCATTTGACAGTCTTTGAGCTTGATTGTTTTAACGATATATTATTCATCTTCTTTATTATAGGTTCGACTTCATCAATACTCTAAAGGGGCGTTACTCTGGAAGACCGGATCATTTATGAAGAAAAACAATCATATTGCTCTCATGATACAAAATGAGTATGTTTATTGATCTACATCCTATTTTTTTTTATTTCACTGTTGTATTTCACTGCTTTATCGCATTGTTGTATTTCACTGTTGTATCTCACTGTCTTATCTGTGCAAAAGATTTCACCATTAAGAACTTAAGCAACAAAGAAATATATGTTATGAACACTGTTTTTGGCTGTCAGAGCCTTAGGTTATCATGAAAACAAAGACATTGATTTTTAACTGACTGTTTAGTTGTCAGGTCCCGTAAGGACCTCTACTGGTTAGGGACCACCAACACTGGACAACCATCTAACCCAGACAGCCCGAAAATGCCTGATGTAGTTTTCTTCATGGTCCAGTGGTTGTTGATAATTCAGTTGCCTTTTTATCAACAATATATACATGTTCTTCTATAATTTGGTAATTAAATTTATCATTTTACAACCGTAAATTGTGATATTTTAATGTCTATTTTAACAATGTTGACGTTGAAAATTTGGACGTCAAGATTGCAATACTTAACCCCTTGTATTACCTATTTACATATGCAGAGTAAACAATAGAATATTCAAAACTTCAGCATTTGCTGCTGATATATTGTCTATTGTGTGAAAAATAAAAAATTTAAATACACAAGCTTTTATCTGGATTAAATCAACGTCATGTACATTTCTGTCTGGACACATGGTATTGTAGTGTGGACAATTTAGGTAATTTTGACATTCTTCTCAATGGGCCTCAGATATAAGTGTCTACATAATCAGAAATAAACAAACTAGTTTGTTAGATAGGAGAAGAACCTAGCAGTACAAATTTTCAGATCTTTAGCTTTGAAGTTATGAAATCTTAATGAAAAATGTTCAAAAGTGTCTGGTTGATGGTCCCCAACTAGTATTTCAAAATTTGTATTGAATATTTTATCTACAATTTTCTAACTGTTTGTTGATATAAATATGATATAATTTCAGTGAACAGGAAGTGATAGTGAGAGCTCAAGGGTTCAGACCAGAGAACTTCCTGTTTATTGTACATGAGATGATTGAGACTTTGATCCGGGAGTCATACTCTGGTGTACATTATGACTTCTTCATCCCCTGTATGGACTGTCAGAGCAGGGTGAGTAATATGTTTTGATTATACAACCAGAAAACTGTGACATAGGTTATGTTTTGATTATACAACCAGAATAATGTGACATTGGTTATGTTCTGATTATACAACCAGAATACTGTGACATTGGTTATGTTTTGATTATACAACCAGAATACTGTGACATTGGTTATGTTCTGATTATACAACCAGAATACTGTGACATTGGTTATGTTCTGATTTTACAACCATAATACTGTGACATTGGTTATGTTCTGATTATACAACCAGAATAATGTGACAGATGTTATGTTTTGATTATACAACCAGAATACTGTGACATTGGTTATGTTCTGATTATACAACCAGAGTACTGTGACATAGGTTATATTCTGATTATACAACCATAATACTGTGACATTGGTCATGTTCTGATTTTACAACCAGAAAACTGTGACATAGGTTATGTTCGGATTATACAACCAGAAAAAAAGAGACATTGGTTATATTCTGATTATACAACCATAATACTGTGACATTGGTTATGTTCTGATTTTACAACCAGAAAACTGTGACATAGGTTATGTTCTGATTATACAACCAGAATACTGTGACATTGGTTATGTTCTGATTATACAACCAGAATAATGTGACATATGTTATGTTTTGATTATTCAACCAGAATACTGTGACATTGGTTATGTTCTGATTATACAACCAGAATAATGTGACATAGGTTATATTTTGATTATACAACCATAATACTGTGACATAGGTTATATTTTGATTATACAACCATAATACGGTGACATATGTTATGTTCTGATTTTACAACCAGAATACTGTGACATAGGTTATATTTTGATTATACAACCATAATACTGTGACATTGGTCATGTTCTGATTATACAGCCAGACAACTGTGACATTGGTTATGTTCTGATTTTACAACCAGAAAACTGTGACATAGGTTATGTTCTGATTATACAACCAGAAAACTGTGACATAGGTTATGTTCTGATTATACAACCAGAATACTGTGACATGGGTTATGTTCTGATTATACTACCAGAATACTGTGACATAGGTTATGTTCTGATTATACTACCAGAGTACTGTGACATGGGTTATGTTCTGATTATACTACCAGAATACTGTGACATTTGTTATGTTTTGATTATACAACCAGAATACTGTGACATGGGTTATGTTCTGATTATACAACCAGAATACTGTGACATTGGTTATGTTCTGATTATACAACCAGAATACTACCTGTGACATTTTTATGTTTTATTATACAACCAGAATACTGTGACATGGTTATGTTCTGATAATAACAACCAGAATACTGTGACATGGTTATGTTACTGATTATACAACCAGAATATTACTGTGACATTGGTTATGTTCTGATTATACAACCATAATACTGTGACATTGGTTATGTTCTGATTATACAACCAGAATATACTGTGACATGGGTTATGTTCTTATTATACAACCAGAATACTGTGACATGGGTTATGTTCTGATTATACACCAGAATACTGTATTCATTGGTTATATTTCTGATTATACAACCAGAATACTGTACATGGTTATGTTCTGATTATACAAAACCATAATACTGTGACATTGGTTATGTTCTGATTATGCAACCATAATACTGTGACATGGGTTATGTTCTGATTATATCAACCAAATACTGTGACATGGGTTATGTTCTGGAATTATACAACCATAATACTGTGTGACATGGTTATGTTCTGATTATACAACCAGAATTACTGTGACATTGGTTATGTTCTGATTATACAACCAGAATACTGTGACATGGGTTATGTTCTGATTATACAACCAGAATACTGTGAAATTAGTCATGTTCTGATTATACAACCAGAAAAAAAATGATAAAGGTTATGTTCTGATTATACAACCAGAATACTGTGACATGGGTTATGTTCTGATTATACAACCAGAAAAAATGATAAAGGTCAGGTTCTGATTATGCAACCTGAATAATGTGACATTAGTTACTGGGAAAGTTTAATTATGATTTTGAAGAGAAATTATTGTATAATATTTAATATATATATGTATATGATTTTTATAATTACGCAGTTTTATTTTTTCTGTATTTTCACAATGATCATTTAGATATTGCTTGACATCGTTAGAATCATTTTTTTTTTATCTTGGAAAAAAAGCTTGTATACTATTAAAATCATACTTTGATTATAATTTTCTAGAATGTTAAGGATCCAAGTATGATGTCGTATCAGAAGGTCAAAAGAGCTCTAGAACTTAATGTTCCATTCCTACAGTGTGAGAAATTCTTCCATATGCTGTCATTACAGGAGATTAAAGGTAACATTTATTTTCACAAAAATCAATTTGAGAAAAGTCCAACTTGCAGGTCTTGACAACGTTCATTTTAGATGTTGTGTATACTTGTATATTTCAGATGTAGTATAAACTTGTATAAATGTATTTAAGAGGCTTGTATATATTTGTATATTTCAGATGTTGTATAAACTTGTATAAATGTATTTAAGAGGCTTGTATATATTTGTATATTTCAGATGTTGTATAAACTTGTATAAATGTATTTAAGAGGCTTGTATATATTTCAGATGTTGTATAAACTTGTATATTCCAGATGTTGTATAAACTGTTGTAAAAATGTATTTAAGAGGCTTGTACATATTTGTATATTTTAGATGCTATGCCATCAGATAAGATGGATGAGGTAGACAGTCATCTACGTAACAGTGTTCGTGAACTCATTGACCTCACAACGGAGAAAACGGTCTCTGTCTTCTTTGTTTACTCTACTAAAGACGTACCAGACTTGAAGGATGCAGAGAAATGTGTTCATCCTGGAACTATATTAGCAGATATGAGGTCTCAAGATGACCTCAAAGTGTAAGTGTATATATAACTGCTTGTTTATATAGTGTAAGATCTACACACCTCAGATTTACCGGTCGTCATCAAACTTTGAAATGTTAACTGAAAAACAAGAGGCTATATGTTCTTTTATGTAGTCATATATGCACCATTTTTTCAATGAAGAAGTATCTCAAAGCAAAATTAAGCATATTGATATACATGTCTAATGTCAGTCTTAAATGTTGATAAAAACAGGGGAACTTTTCAGTAACTTTGTCACAAACCATGTCAGATAATCTATCTCAAATAAAATTGTCAATTAATTTTCAGTATGCTAAATATGCAAGATATACTGACAATAACTTGTTCAAATAAAGGATAAATTAATATAATAAATTATTCAATGAATATTTTGAAATGGATTTTAACCAAAGTTAAGATGATATCTGCATCAAGATTTTGTTGACTTGATGGGGGTAACATGTATAATGCATATTGGACTCAAAATTTGCAAATTTTCAGTTCTGATACGAGAAAATAACATAAGTGATTTATTATGTATCTAGTATTGTATTCAATAAGGGATTTAGCTAATCTGATGATTGTACATGTAGGTCATACACAGATCAGCCTGAGTCATCAGACATGGAAGCTCTGACATTGTCAATCAAAGCTAATGATGTAATTGTGTTTGGTCTGTCTGATAACTTTGCTAACGATGATGTATGTAAGAAATTACTGCTCTACACAAAAGATGTACTTCAAAGACCAATATTGCTACTACTGCTTGGTCAGACAAAGAACTGGCAGAAAGGAGATCTAAATATGCCACTTGGTGATGAGGTAAACTATATCTTTTTGCCTAAATAGGCCACTTGGTGATGAGGTGAACTATATCTTCTCATTTAAATATGCCACTTGGTGATGAGGTAAACTATATCTTCTCATCTAAATATGCTACTTGGTAATGAGGTATACTATATCTTCTCATCTAAATATGCCACTTTGTGATGAGGTGAACTATATCTTCTCATCTAAATATGCCACTTGGTGATGAGGTGAACTATATCTTCTCATCTAAATATTCCACTTGGTGATGAGGTAAACTATATCTTCTCATCTAAATATTCCACTTGGTGATGAGGTGAACTATATCTTCTTATCTAAATATGCCACTTGGTGATGAGGTAAACTATATCTTCTCATCTAAATATTCCACTTGGTGATGAGGTGAACTATATCTTCTCATCTAAATATTCCACTTGGTGATGAGGTAAACTATATCTTCTCATCTAAATATGCCACTTGGTGATGAGGTGAACTATATCTTTTCATCTAAATATTCCACTTGGTGATGAGGTGAACTATATCTTCTCATCTAATCATGCCACTTGGTGATGAGGTAAACTATATCTTCTCATTTAAATATGCCTTTTGGTAATGAGGTATATTATATCTTCTCATCTAAATATGCCACTTGGTGATGAGCCGAACTATATCTTCTCATCTAAATATGCCACTTGGTGATAAGTATATTATATCTTTTCATCTAAATATGCCTATTGGTTATTGGGTAAGCTCTCATGGTAAATGTGCTTTGATTTCAACATTTTTCAGTCATCAGCATTTTAGTGCTTAGTCAAATAATTACTATCTCTAGAATTTAGTTACTTAACATTTTTTTTTAATATAAATTTTGCCAACCATGGTGACTGAGGTTTTCATTTGCTTATACATAATAAGATTTAGCACAGATATTTGAAAAATAGGGAGAGCTTTTGTACTCATTTTGGCATCACCATAACACTTTGGTTAAGTTTTTGTGTGCAACTTAAGTGAATGGGTTGAAACTTCACAGACTTGTATTTGGTGATTATCTAACATGATAGGCTCAGGTCCCATAACTCTGAGTTATCTTTTTATTAAGTTATGTGGTGTGTAGTCTGTATTGTAAATAAATTTGTTTTGTTTTTAAAAGACAATACACTATACTGACTGATGTAATTATTGTTGCTATTTATAAAATGTTCCTCTGTATATATTGATCAGGTATTTGTGGATATGACAAAGATAAAATGTTCCTCTGTATATATTGATCAGGTATTTGTGTATATGACAAAGTTAAAATGTTCCTCTGTATATATTGATCAGGTATTTGTGGATATGACAAAGTTAAAATGTTCCTCTGTATATATTGATCAGGTATTTGTGGATATGACAAAGTTAAAATGTTCCTCTGTATATATTGATCAGGTACTAGTGGACATGACAAACTTAAAATGTTCCTCTGTATATATTGATCAGGTATTTGTGGATATGACAAAGTTAAATTGTTCCTCTGTATATATTGATCAGGTATTGGTGAATAGGACAAAGTTAAATTGTTCCTCTGTATATATTGATCATGTATTTGTGGATATGACAAAGTTAAAATGTTCCTCTGTATATATTGATCAGGTATTTGTGGATATGACAAAGTTAAAATGTTCCTCTGTATATATTGATCAGGTATTTGTGGATATGACAAAGATAGACAGATATCAGCACAAGATTAAGGAATTATTTGTGGCTATCAAAAAGAAAGATGAGAGTAAGAAAAAGGTAAAATAATTTTTTAAATGTTTTATATATAATGATGAAATGTTCCACTACCTCTCCTTTACAGTAAAAATATGTAGATAAAAATATTAGAGTAATTTGTTACATTTTTCAGATAATTTATTAGGTTAAAACTTTTTAAAGTTAATAAGGCTACAGTGGGTTAATTGTCTTTAAGTTTTTCAAATATATTAATAAAAACAATATAGATGTATCATTTGGATTTAATTCTTGAAAAAAGAGCTAGACTTTAAATGACAACATGTTATTTGCCTTCCTTAAATCTTGAATTGAGCTAGAACAAATCATTCTCTATCATCATATATCCCAGTAATATTTTACTTCCAGTTTTATCTCATCATGAAATATTAATAAAGCTTTTCCTTTCCACACAAAACCCTTTTAGCTAAGAAGCAATCTAGTACTAAAGTTCTAATAATGACTAAGGGCAGTTAGTGTCACTATTTCCAAATGTGTGTGTTGTGTGTGCAAACAAAATCCTGGATTTTAAGATAAATTGTACACATGAAGATAGATCATATATAGATCATGTGTCAAGTGCAAAACCAGATCAAAAAATCAAGGTCAAGGTTAAGTAAGTGAATG